GCTCCGTGGTGGCCTCCCCCAGGACCCAGCAGTGGGAGGGCGGTGGGCAGAACCCCCAAAACTGCTGGGATGAAGTGGGGAAAGGGATGCTTTTCCTGGGAAAGCAGCGGCGCAGAGCCCACAGCATCCCCCAGATTGGGGGGATAGCTTCCCTCAGCAGCCTCCCCATTGTTGTCCCCCCCCCACAGCCACCAGTCGCAGCGGCATGGGGACCCCGGTGCCTGCGCCCCCGCCGCCCTCAGCCAGCAGCACCCCAGCAGGGCAGCCCACCGCCATCACCCGCCTGCACATGCAGCTGCACCTCCACGACCTGCAGCAGAATGCCAGCGACCTCCGCAACCAGCTGCAGCAGCTCAAGAAGCTGCAGGTGGGTACTGGTGAGGGGACACCCCAATCCGGTCCAGCTCTTACTGGGGTTGCTCCAACCCCAGACCATGAAATATAACCAAAAAACCCTCTTTTTTGGTGATTTTGCATGAGGCTGGGTGTGGGAGAGTGAGGGGATCCATCCCCGTGGTGGTCCCCGTCATGGAGGGGGGTCTTGCCCAGCCTGAATCTCACCCCCCCATTCTCCTTGTCCCCACAGCTGCAGAACCAGGAGACGGTGAAGACGATGCTGCGGCGGACAGAGACAGAGATCAGCGTGCGGGTGACGGACACCGTGCGCAAGCACGAGGACCCCCTGCAGCGCCAGCGCAGTTTGGTGGAGGAGGAGCGGCTCCGCTACCTCAATGAGGAGGAGCTCATCACCCAGCAGCTCAAGTGAGCTGGGGCGGGTGGCAGGGATGGGATCCCCACCCACCCACTTCCATGGGTGCAAATCAGCACCTCTGTGCGGTACCAGGTCACATCCTTGACCACACGCATGGAGGGGGGGACCTGGAGCTCCCCAGCATCTCAAAGTGGTGCTGATCCCCCCTCATTGACACCCCTGCCCCTTCTCTGTGCTCACAGTGACCTGGAGAAGTCAGTGGAGAAGATCCAGAAGGATTTGAGCCACAACCACCGGCTCATCCCGGTGCAGGAGCTGGAGGAGAAGGCGGTGGTGCTAAAGCAGCTCGGGGAGACACTGACGGACCTCAAGGGTGAGGAGGTGGCCATAGCCGAGGCTGTGCTCCTGGTCACCCCCTGCGTCCACGTCCCCAAATCCTGGGTAGCAAAACCGCAGCTCCAGGGCAGCGTTTGGTGCCCATGGATGTGGAGGAGGCACCTTCAGGGGCTGAAATCAGTGCTTGTGGGCAGATGGAGGAGGGATGATGGGCATGGAGAACAGGATGATGGTCATGAGGAGCAGGATGATGGCTGTGGGGAGTGGCATGATGGCCATGGCGTGCAGGATGATGGCCATGGGGTGCAGGATGATGGCCATGGAGAGTGGGATGATGGCCATGGGGAGAAGTTTGATGGCCCACAGGGGTTTTGGTGGCCGTGGGGTGCCCTGGCATGGCCAGACCCTGGTGACCCTCCTTCTTCCACCCCAGCCCAGTTCCCCAGCCTGCAGAGCAAGATGCGGGTGGTGCTGCGGGTGGAGGTGGAAGCTGTCAAGTTCCTCAAGGAGGAGCCGAACCGCCTGGATGGGCTGCTCAAGCGCTGCAAGACAGTGACGGACACTCTCGCCCAGATCCGCAGGTGAGCCCCGGACCCCCACCCTGGCCCTGCAGCCCCTCCAGCGCTCTCCCTGACTGTGTCCCCCCCATAGTCACATATTCTGCCCCTTATGATGCCCTGCAAGGACACAGCTGGGCCCTTCAGTTGTCCCTGTGTTGGTGGCCTCTGTGCATTACGGATGCAAATCCCAAAAGGCGATTGAAAAAAGGTCAATTTTTCTGCTATAAGGAACTGAAAAATGCTCTTGGTTCTCTCCAGTGTGTACTTGAAAAGCCCTCCTTTTCCTTTCACCTTGAAAAAAATCCATGTTCCTATATCCAGATAAAAGGGCAACCCTCAGCATGGTCAGAAATCACTTTCCTGAGGAGCAGAGGAGTGTTTCGATGGGGAAAAATCATCTTCCAGCTCTGATGCTAGCAGAGGCGGCCGCCCGCCTGCCTCTTCCCGTTACAAGAGCTTTGGGGATGGCTCACGCTCGGAGCCGCGCCAGCACTGGGCTTGCCTGGGGCTCATCGCTAGCCTGGTTTTCTGTGGAAATGAGCTCATACGGTAGCGCAGGGGCCGGAGCTGCCTACCTGTCATTCCCTGGCTCCTGTAACTCCCGAATCCAGAGGGCATTTGCAGCCAGATCTGACAGAGGGGCAGGATTCAGAGAGATCCAATTCATGGAAACGGACAGGCGGCTGGAGGAGCTCTCAGCATCGCCAAGAGAGACTGCAGCATCAGCTCCAACCCCTTCCCAGACATCAGAGAACCCAAATCCTCATCCATACAATGCAGAGATGCAGGGTTTTTGTGGCGTGATTTGGAGAGGGTGTGATAACCTCCCATCATCATCTTTGCTCTGTCCCTACAGGCAAGTGGACGAGGCGTGGACCACCCCCAGCACCCTCAGCCAGTCCCCCAAGAAGGTGGCCCCCGAGACAGAGTTCAGCAAGGGGCTGGAGCTGGAGATGCCCACCAGTCCCCCAGTGAGCCTGCACCCCCTGACGACTGCCACTGACGCCCTGGGCATGCCCAGCTTCGGACACAGCCCCCCCCAGACCCAGACCCACCCCTCCAAGAGCAATAACCCTTCCCGAGCTCCCGAGATGGTACCTGCCAAGACCCAAACGGGTCCCGAGACCCCCAGCAAGAAGAGCGCGGACAAAGCTGTATCCGTGGAGGGGAGAGCCTGGGGGGGGGGTCCTCAGCTGGGGGGGCTCTTTTAGGGAGTTCATCCCTTGGGCTTGATGATCTTAAAGGTCTTTTCCAACCTGAGAGACTCCATGATTCAATGTCTCCCAGTTGAAACTGGGGACAGGAGCTGGGTCCATCCTTCTCCTCTCTGGACTTGTAGCCAATGGGGTGTCTGGAGGTGATGCTGGCAGCTTTGGGACCCCCACAGATTGCACATCGGGGATTGTGCAGCTTAGAGAGGGGGTCAACACTGTCCCCCCACTCCTCCCAGCCCCGGTCCCAGGTTGGGGGGCAGCAGCAGGACTGGGGGATCCCATCCTGCTACAGGCTCTGCCTCCCATCCTCAGGCAGCCGAGCGGGACTGGGAGGAGAAGCGGGCGGCGCTGACCCAGTACAGCGCCAAAGACATCAACCGGCTGCTGGAGGAGACCCAGGCCGAGCTGATGAAGGCCATCCCCGACCTGGAGTTCGCCGCCAAGCACAAGCAAAGCGCAGGCAGCAGCAGCACCGCCTCCACGCCCGAGCACAAACCCTCCAAACCACAGCACGTGCCCAAGTCAGGGAGCAAGGGGGACCCCAATGGCCGCAGGGGCTCAGGTACGGCGTGAGGAGGGCAGGGGCCCACCTTTGGATGCCAAATCCAGGGGGTGCCATCACTGTGGGGGTGAGTGATGCTGCCCCGAGGGAGGTTCGTGCCTGGGGGGGCAGTGGGAGACCCCTGGGTGTTGTATGAGGGGAAAAGGGAAAGGTCTGGTGCCCTCACAGCACCGTTTGTGCCCAGACGAACTGACAGTGCCACGGTACCGCACCGAGAAACCCTCCAAATCACCGCCGCCGCCTCCTCCGCGACGGAGCTTCCCCTCATCCCACGGGCTCACCACAACCCGCAGCGGCGAAGTCATCGTCACCAGCAAGAAGGAGCCCGGGTTCATGAAGGTGCGGAGCAGGGCCAGGGGACGGCCATTGGACTGGGTCTCCCCCAGTGATCCCCAGCCCTCACCGCCCTGCTCCCTCCTTGCAGAAGGCCGAGTCGGAGGAGCTGGAGACCCAGAAGCCGCAGGTGAAGCTGCGCCGGACGGTGTCGGAGGTGGTCAGGCCGGCGTCCACCCCTCCCATCATCGCTTCTGCCATCAAGGACGACGACGACGAGGACCGCATCATCGCGGAGCTGGAGGTGAGCGCGGGAGGGGCTGCGGGATGCCCCAGCTTTCCCGCACTGGAGGCCATGCCCACCCTGTCCCCTGTCCGAGGGGACACCTCGGGATCGGGGCTGGGGAACGACACCCCACACTCCGGTGCAGCAATGGGCTCCCCCTCATTGCCCGTCTCCAAGCAGGAGCACAGTGCCGCGGGGATGGTACCAGACCCCGCACTGGGTCCAGGTGCTGCGAGCCTGGTTCACCATCACTCTTCTTGAGCTTTAAGCCAAACTCATTTATTTTTTAACACTATACAGCTTCAGCTGGACGTTCACTGGGTTTTGTGCACAGGGCGCCCTGCAGAAAACCCACCCGAGATGCTGTCCTGATGCACTGAACCCCCAGGCTGGCTGTGCCCCATGGCCTCTCCCCATTTGCTATGATTGAGGTGCCCAAATGGGTCATGGATGGTTTTCCCTGGCTGGTTTTCCCCCAGGAGGCAAAGGAACCAGTGATGTTGCAGGCAGGGGGACCAGTGGTGCTGCAGACAGAGAGATCAGTGATGCTTTGGGCAGGGGGATTGGTGATGCTGCGGGCTGGGGGGACAGGCAATGCTGCCGGCGGCAGAGGGACAGGGATGCTCCACAGCTGATGAGTTCAGCCGATGTTTCACTCCTTGCTGATGGCTGCCAAGCCCCAGTCCTGGCACCATGACAAGCATCCCCGCAAACATGGGCTGTGTCGCTGTCACCCTTCAGCCTCCCTCCTCCAATGCCCCATGTTTGACTCCCCAGGTGTTTCAGAGAAGCTCTGCCTCCCCTTTCCTCCCCAAGCTGCGTTTTGACCCGCTGGCGGCTGCCGTCTCCCCTGGGCACGCAGACGTGTGGCCCACTGGAGCGGACGGATGGAAGGTACCCTCTCCTGCCGCCGGGCTGCACTTTAACCACCTCTCCTGCCTCTCTTCAACTCACTTCTGCCTCTTCCTCTGCTTTAACAAACTAATTAATGGCTTTTCTCCACTCCGCTGCTCACCGCACCGCGTGTACGGCACTGACACGGCACAGGACCCAGCACTAACCTGTGCAGTGGCACCGTGGGGCTGCTGTGGCCCCCGCCAGGGCCAAATCCTGCATCCACATGGATGGGAGGAAGGATGGGGGCACCCCAGCACCCCCTGGGCAGGGCACGGTGGGGAATTGCTGCTCTCACGCTGCACTGGGTGGCTTTGCCAGCGCCCAGGGAGGGTGTCACTGGGAGGGGGATGCATGCAGGTCACCGTCTCTGGAGGTGTTCAGAAACACAGCACTCTGGGACATGGATTAGTGGCCATGGTAGGGTTGGGTTGGTTGGACTTGATTTTAGAGGGCTTTTCCAACCTTCATGACCCTGTGTCTATGTGGATACGCCACAAGGAGACCCCGCTCCACCTGCGTGGTGATGGGGTGGAGCAGGGGATGCTCGGTGGGGGACAAAGGGGACAAGAGGACAGAGGGTGCTGTGGGGGGGACTGGGCACGCTGCAGGAGTCCCACTGGGTTCCTCCCCAATCCTGGCAGACCCCAGCACTATGACCGCCCCAGAGCAGCAACTCCTGTCCCTGCGGGCAAGGACCATGGGTGAGCCATGCCATGCCAGGACACTCATCCCTGGTGCCCATCCTGTGTCACCCATCAGCATGGTGTCATCGCTGCTGTCACCCTGCTCTGCCATGGGGCCATGGTGATGGCAGCAGCCCCCCCCAGGCCAGGGCAGGGCTCAGGTGTGGAGCTGCAGGTTTTGGCGTGGCACCTCTTCTGCCCAAGCATCTCCCCAGTTTGCCCAGCTCATGGAGGGCACTGCTCTCCCATGGGACAGGAGCAGGTGGGCGCAGGAGGAAGGATGGGTGACGTTTTTGAGGTGACTTTTTTGAGGTGACTTTTTTTGAGGTGACTTCTTTCAAGGTGATGTTTTTGAGGTGGTGTTTTCGAGGTGACTTTTTGCTATGCAGGGTTTTAAAGGTCCGGTGGCCCTTGGCAGCTCCTTAGCCATGGTTCATCCCCCACCTTCAGCTCTGCTGGGAGCAAAGGGAAGGCAGAGCCCCGTGAGGCCTGGGCTCTGTTCTTGCACCAGTGCTGTGCCAGTTTATACCAACATGGGAGAAATCCAAGGTGGGCTCTTCAGTCAGGTTTCCAAAGGCATTCGAGAGGTGCAGTGACACCAACTTATTTTTTGCTAAAGAATCCATGCAACTTATTGGCAAAATCTCCCAGACCCAGCAACAGTAGAAAACCAGTCCCAGTCTGTGCTGTGGGCACCAGTGGAACATCAGGGCTGGGCAGGAGGGACCCGAGCATCTCCTGGTCCAACACCTCAGAGACACCAGCGATGGGGGATTCCCGTAGTGTGTGTGGACACATAGAGCCCCCTGCTCCCCCTCTGGCTCCTAATCTGTCTGAATTCTCTACCTTAGGAGCTGCCGGCTCCGGCTGCCGGTGGGAGCAGGGCCTTCTCCCTCCCGCAGATTGTGCCTTTCTCCCCCCGGCAGATTGTGCTGACCGAGTGGGTGTCCGAGCCGCCATCCCCCGAAGCCGAACCACAGGCATGGGTGGAAAGTGGCTGTGGGGACACCGCCAGCAGCACAGGAGCAGGAGGGGAGCTCATGCCTCAGGGGGGTCAGCAATGCCACGCGTCTCCTGGCACCTCCAAAAATTCTACATCCGCAGCCAGGGATCCTCCAGCCTCAGCCTCACAGCCCCACAGCAGCCTCCCTCGGGGCCGTACCCATACCACAGTGGAGATTTGGGGATTTCCTCTATCAGCCAAGGTCCCATCTGTCTCAAAACACAAACCGAGCAGTACCACAGGGGGAGAAGGAGGGAACGCTGCTCCAAGCACTGCTGGCAGCAGCAAAGCATCCCAAGGAGGTCCTGTGGCTGTGCCGCAAGGGGGTCCTGGGGCTGTGCCGCATCCTCATCTCCGGGGAGAAGCTGCAGCTCCCAGTGCAGCAACGCTCCCCCACACTGGCACTGTCCCCTGGCTTCCTGGTGTTGGGGACCCCCAAGGAGGAGCCTTTCAGGAGGCATCGCTCCCTCCTGGAGACTCCGCTGGGGCCCCAGTGCCACATCCCAGGTCTTTCCCGGGCAAGAATCCAGCACAGCAGGGACAGGGACAGCCCCGGGCTGGGCATCCCCAGGATCAGGTCGCTGCTTTCCCAAGGCTGAACCATGGCACGGGCAAAGATGGAGTGGGGGACACGGGGATGGGGGGAAAGGCAGCAGAGGGGCTGTCCCAAGGGCCGTTGTCCCCGCACCCCTCCATGGCTCCGCGCAGCAAGGAGATTTATGAAGGCACCTACCAGAGACTGGACAGCCTGGAAGAAACCATCCGTGAGCTGGAAATCACCATCAGCGAGATCAGCAGCCATCCCGCCGTTGGATTTGTGCTCCCCAAAGACCTGCAAGGACGAGCGGGCTCCAAGGATGCTGCCAAGGACGATCTGAGAGATCTCCAGATCATTGACGATGGGACTGCCCTGGACCTCAGTCAGGCCAAAGATGATGCTCCTGAGGGTCCGTCCCCAAGCAAGACCAAGCCACCGCTGCGCCCCAAGCCGCAGCTGCCCCTCGCCACGCCGCAGGTTTATTTTCTGTTCTCCCTCTTGCCGTGCTCTGCCCCGGACTCTGATGTCTCTCTTCCTCCACCTCTACCTGCTCCCTCTCTGTGACACTACCTCCAGGCAGAGCCAAGGTGGAAAAAAAACCCAAAATATCTCCTTTTCTCCCTCTCAGCGGGACGGGTTTGGGAAGCACAGGCAGGAGGTGGCAGCGTGAAGGCCACTGGGTGCCCGTCCCTTGCTGTGCATGGCACCGAATTAGATCCTGGTTGAGCTGATATCTCCTGCCCTGACAGATTTTGGGGCTGAGCACGGGGCTGCTGCTGAGGAGCATCCCATGGGGCAGTGTGACGAAGCAGCATCCCTCGTTTTCCCGTTTTGCATAAGCGCTTTCCTAACGAACTGCAGTTTTGAGCGTGGCCACAAAGCAGCAGCTGTTTCTCCTAATTAAATCACAGCACGAGCTCCCCGGAGCCACCCAAATTGGTTTCTGCTGGCATCTGCGGCAGCCGAAAAGCTGGGAAAAGAGAGGGAAAAATGCCCTCAGCTGCTCTGACATTAGCCTGCTCCTTTATTAACAGTCAGCACTGGGGAATAAATCTCCTTTTTCATCTGTGGCGATGATCTCGGCCCAGTTTGCACCCTGTTGCGGTGTTCTCGCGGGGTGAATGGGCTGTCGAGTCAGTATCGTTGCTGTTTCTCCCACTGTCGGCACCGCTGGAGCCCGGCAAACTGGGAACAGAGCTGCAGGATGGGTTTGTGGCTGTGGAGCTCAGGAGAGGCTGCATGGCCAGGGTTGGCTCAGTCAGTCCCCAAAAGCGGAGCGGGAGAGGGCAGGGCTCGCACCGCCCTTTGAGGATGCTGCAAGTTGGTTGCGGAGGCTGGGATCCAGTGCCCAGGATGCTGGGACACTGGGGTGCAGGGAGGACCTGGATTTCCTTGTGCAGTGTACAGGAATCCCCATGTCCCATCCGGGGCGAGAAAAACTGGGCACTGATTTATCAACCTGGTCCCGCTGCCATAACCTCTCCCGTCAGAGATGCGGCCATTGCATCAGGTTTTGCTGCCTGCAGCAGCTGGGGCAGGCAGAAGGCAGCTTGGAGAGGATCTGGGGTGCCCCAAACAATGAGGGGACAATGTGGGTCTCCAATGGCAGGGGATGCGGGTGCAGGAGCTGCTTCCCTCGCTGCCGCTCTCACACATCCTCGTTTCGCCATCAGTGCACAGGCAGTTAACAAAAATCCACTGTTTCCCCACTGCCGCCGTTTCCACCTGGAATCTGCTTCTGCCGTTACCTCCTTTCCTTTCTCCTGGGGGATGCTCTGCCCCTGCCCTCGGTCTCCCGGTGTTTGCCGTGTGTGCCCCTCGCTCCCGGTTTGCGCGGTGGCTGTTGGTAAGTCCTTCCAGCTCGCCAAAGTGCTCGGCGAGGGCTCCTTTGCCACACGGAGCTGGTGGCCATGTCCTTGCCTGGGTTTGCCACCCTGGGCCATTGCAGGGGCTCAGCATAGCTCTGGGCATCCCAGAAAATGGCAGTGCCCAACCATTGTGGCTTTTCTCTGCCAGTTTTAACCCCTTTTCCCCCAAATTCTGTGTTCTGGCAGAGCGGGGGCGTTTCCATCCCAGCCATGAAGGTGGTGAACCCAGCGTCGCGGCTGAAGCAGGGCCAGCAGGGCAGCCCCGACAAGAGCAAGCACATAAAGCAGCGGATGGAGTACATGCGCATCCAGGGCCAGCAGCAGGTACTTCATCTCTAGCACTGGCCCAGATGCCTCTCCTGGTAGCCCACGGCCCTGGCGTCTCCCTCGCTGCCTTGTACTGGGGTGAGGGTGTGGGTGGTGGGCTGGGGAGACCCCATGGGTGCTGCTTTTGGGGTCTCCAGGTGCCTCCCAGTGGGGCTGGGGAGGTGGGGACCCAGCTGTGAGGGTGCAGGGGGGGTGCTCTGTGCCTGATGTGATGGTTTCTTGGGGACGGGGACATGGCTTTGTGCTGAGACCGGCAAACTCGTGACGAGTGTGGGATGAGGCTGAAGCCGGGTTTGTCCCCCCAGTCCTGCATGCCCCAATGGCCAGGGCTGAGCCCCAGACCCGAGGGACCCCCCAAACCTTGCAGAGCATCTCAGTGCTGAGCACTGCAATATGGGGGCTCCAGGGGGATTCATCCCCCTAGGGCTGAGGCCGCCCACCCCATCCTGGGAGGTTTTAGAGGACCAGGACCCTCCATGCACTGCCATGGGATGGGGGTGTCACAGAGTGACGGTATGAGGGTGCCCAGCAGCATGGGGAGAGGGTGGGGGGGCCACAGCAGCTGGAAGAGGAGCACTTTGGGATGGGATGGATGTGTCCCCCACCCTGGCCCAGCACCCACCCCTCTCCCATCCCCAGGACGCCCCCTGCCACAGGCGGGGGGGCGCACCCCCTCCTCTCCTCCACCCGCTCTGTGTCTCACCCCCCCTTCCCCAGGCCTGGCGTTAAAAAAACACCAAATAAACCCAATTCTGTGCATTCTGTCGGATCCGTAACCCCTGCTGGATAAACAGAAGGTTTTTTTCCCAGCTGGGTTGGGGGTGGGGGGGTGGATTTAATGCAATCTGGGCAAATATTGCATGAGCAAAATGGGCATCTCACTTCCCACTGGCTCAGCCCCCCTGTTCCCCCCTGCATTGCTGAGTTGGAGCCATTTGTGGTGACAACGGAGATGTCCCCAAGCAGGGTCCGTCCTTGAGTCTGGGGTCTCCCTGCTATCTCCCTCCCCCCTCATACGCAGGTGGTTGTGGTTTTCATTCCCCTGCAGAATCAGGAAGAGATGGGGGGGGTTCCTCTTCCCCCCCAGGGCTTCCCCATGGGCTGGGGAGCAGAGAAATCCCAAAAGGGCTGTGCCGGGAGCCCTGAGGGGCTAGGGAGCATCTCCTGGCCCCAGTGAGGCCACTCAATCCCCCTCCCTGGTGGCCACCACTCAGCACAGCCCCCGCTGGCCGATGTCACCCACCTTGTCCCCACCTCAGGCCACCCCATGGCCACCCAGCCCATGGCCAGACCAGTTTTCCATGGCACTTTTGTCCTCGCTGCCTGCCTTGTGCAGGATTTGGCTGGCCCCCCTACCCATTACTACTGTGACCCTGCATCGGTGCTAGGTGGGGGCTGGAGGAGCCCCCTCCCCATTGTGGGGGGGGTTGTGAGCATCCTTGGACCACGAGCAGTGTCAGGTCACATCACCGCTGGTGGTGACCACAGCAGAGCGGTGGGGGGGGTGGGCACCGTCCCCTGTCAGAGGATGGGACCCCCCCAGTGCAGTGCAGTGTGGGTGCACCCCCAGGTCTAACGCTGCCCTTCTTGTCCCCCCCCCGCCTTTCTCCCCTCTCCCCAAAAAAGCGTGTGCTTTCTGTCCGCGTGTCCGTCTGTGCGTCCGTCCGTCCGTCTGTCTCCTCTCCGGGACGTCCCTTTCCCTCCCAGTAACGCCTGGGACCAGCTCATCTCGTGCTCTGTTCGTGGTGGCCCTTTTCCAGCTGCTTGACCTCAGGCCTGACTCAATGCTGCTTCGGAACAAACTCCTGTTTGGTTCTTGGTCGTTGCGTTTTTAATTTCGTTTTTTTGTTGTTGTTGTTACTTTTTTTCCTTCCTTTTGTCTATTTTTTTTTCTAAGAAACTGTTTGACTTTCCTCCCCTTTCTCCTCCTCCTCCTCCTCCTTGAATCTTGCTTTTCTTTCTAGGCCGCTAGACCATCTAAAGAGGGTAGTGAGACTTCCCCCGCGGTCCCCGAAAAGCCCGCATCTGGCAGGACCTCCATCCCCGTATTGACTTCCTTTGGGGCGAGGAACTCCTCCATCTCATTCTGAGCATCCTTCCCAACCGCTCTCCTGCTCCCGGGGCCGGGCTCCTCCTTCCTTGGGCTCCCTGGGACTTCTTGAGGCACCTGGAGGGATCACCACCTGTCCCTCTCTTTCTGCTCTGGTTTTTTTTTTAATTATTGTTATTATTTTTTGTTTTATTTT